AAAACATCGAAGAAGCGATGGCTGAACAGCTGGGATTTCCGGACAAGCTTGTGTCTGGGTAGGCGCATTATGTTTTTCACGTGTTTCGCGGTTTGTTACTGCTGCCGTTAACTTTTTTAGGCCGGATCTGTACCGCACTGGCGGAAAGTTTGAATTGCTCGACCGCATATTGCCGAAACTTAGCGCGACAGGTCATCGCGTATTGCTCTTCTGCCAAATGACCGCGCTGATGACCATTATGGAAGATTATTTTCATCTGCGAAGTAAAAACCACTCTCAGAATAATGTGCAAAATACCTTATGTCTGTTTGCTTAACCATCTGATTTATCCCCTAATCTTGATAAAAAGCTTTCTGGTTTATGATTTTGCCGCTTTGGCGCCTGTGTAGGGCCATAAAGTCAGCGCACAGTCGCGTGACTGCGAGTTTGAATCTGTATGTCATTCGCACTCATCTAGTTCTGCCCTTTATTTAATTTACCTCATAATGTTACATATCATTTGATGACAAAGTCTCAACGGTTGCAGCTTTCCTGTCCATCTATCGCTGATACATGTTGGGTACCACTAGTAAGTAGCGCAGTAAGGAAATGCATAACAGCGTCATCAGCTGCATAGACATTATGTTATGTGGTCATTGTCTGCTACGTCCATTCGATCTTGTGGGAATGATGAAAGGTTAGATATATCAAAGCATGCCTCGAATAATTGGTTTTTGGTATCTAATGTAGCACCTTAGTAAGACTTGTTCTACTCTAGCGATTATGAGTCAGTGATGTACCCAGCTGAAACACCTATATGTATGTTAAATTTGCTAAGATTATATTTTCGAATTATTTCTTTGTATTTACCAACGACTTATGTTATTCATTGAACAGTTATACTTTGCTCATAGCATCTCCAATACCTTAGTTTGCATCGATCTGCCAGAGTTCCACAAGCCTTTCGTTATTGGTCCAGTTTGAGGCAGCTCAGTCTCATTAGCTTGATATTGTCTAGTGTACCTTTTGTCAATTATCAAACGCCCTACTTGCAGTCCAGCGACCACATGTTCTGTTTTGTGTCTGTTTTCATCGCATTTTTCATTTACTATGCTTGAATGACGAACATTTACTGTAAGAAGAAAAGAATAAAATTACAGGCAGTAGATATACCTTTTGGCTTTTTTGCATCTAACTCCGCCCTTCACCGCAGAGTGCGGTAGAAGGTGGTGTTTATCACTCAGGTTTAAAGAGGGCAAAATGTTTGACATCTGAGCAGTTGAAAATTTTTGTTTTGGTTTTAATTTTTTGGAGCAGTTGGAGAAAGCCATTGTCTTTTTTCTGAAGAAGGCACATCCCAGACAATTCCCGTTTACTGGGTTCAAGAATTTTGGGCTAAATTTTTCCCTTTATTGCTGCATCTTCAATATGTATACGTTTATCTGCTTTCAGAAAATTTGCTTCTCAGGGGCTGAGATGTCCTATAAATAGGTATTTTCGTTCGCTACCAATTTCAAGAACAGAATTTCGTAATCGCTTCATAATCTCCAAGGCATTAAATGTGATTCCGTTTGCTGACTTCACTTTATTCGAACTGTGATATGTAGTCATTTTCTCTGTCATGCAGACTAGATAATCATTAAATTGAGTGACATGAATTTTATATATCTTGTTCCATTGAAGCAATACTTCAGATGGCCTATACTCGTCTTCTAATAATGACTCAAGACAATTTTGCAGGCACATTTAAGGCAGTTAAATGGATTCTGCGTTGTGGCTACGATAACAGATAAGGCTCTAGGCCTGTCATGAACTCTGAACTGTAAAGTCTGGTTGAATGTACTTAGCATTAACTTCCACCTTTTACTAACTATAGGTCTGTTCTGTTCTGAGTATGAGCGGTAGCATTTACAGAGATCATGGTTAGGATGATAGTCCTGCTTTGCCGTCAGAGGGTCAAGTTCAATTGGAATATATAAGAGTACCCGAGTGCAAAACTGTGTTGTATAAATCGCACGGTGGTTGAGATAATTCTTTGCTAAATATCGGTTTTGAAAGCAGATATTGTACTCTACCACTTCTTTTGCTTGGACAAGTCTCTTACAGTCACTAAGGAATTGCCAAAGCAGTGAATAAATGTATTTTTAATAGCCATCGTCATGCGCGTTTAAATCCTTAGCGTGTTCTAGATTTCAAATACCTTCGGTTGGACGGTACGACGAAATCAGAGGATAGAGGTCTTCTTCTGAGCTTGTTCAACGCTCCTGAATCAGACTATTTTATCTTTCTGCTGTCCACCCGAGCTGGTGGTTTAGGCTTGAATTTGCAGGCGGCTGACACGGTGATAATTTTTGATTCTGACTGGAATCCCCATCAAGTAAAATGCCGACAGTCGTCGTCCTTTGCCTTTTAATTGAATGCTTTTAATTCGAAGGACATCCAAGCTCAAGACCGAGCTCATCGCATAGGTCAGTTGAGAGAAGTGCGGGTGTTGCGGTTGATGACAGTCAACTCGGTCGAAGAGCGAATCTTGGCGGCGGCAAAGTACAAGCTGAACGTCGATGAGAAAGTGATTCAGGTAAGTTTTTTTGCCAACGTCTTTTGTTTGACAGCGCTTGAAACGAACGTTCTTAAGGCTGGGTTGTTCGATCAGAAGTCGACCGGTGTTGAACGTCGGCAGTTTCTGCAGGCAATTCTACAAGCAGAGTGTGACGAAGACGAGGACGAGAACGAGGTGCCTGACGACGAGACGATCAACCAAATGATCGCGCGCACGGAGGATGAATTCGATCTCTTTCAGGTTGGCCGGACTGTTACATTACACCTAAGTCAGTCAGCCACTTTCGATGAGCGCTTATCCTTTGGGGTCAAGAAGACAGATGCTTAAGACAGTATCTCCCGCGTTCTCGGGGCGTACCACTGTTTGAACTTCGGTAGAAGATAGCCTGAGGCTTAAGCAGAATCCTTCGAGACACTTGCCTTAGGTTATAATCTTCCGTACCCGGAATCTTTGCCGGTCATTTGAGCAATTAGTAGCTATTTCGCTTTTCTTTCTGTAGGCATTCACAAAAGATGTCCAGACCATGGCAACTGTGACTTCTCTGTCTGGAGAAGCAGCAGTTCTACTCCATAACTTTCTCAGATATCTCATATTTGGACCATGTCGAGACGTGTTAGCCCAGCGATTCGTCTAAAAACACATTTCAGCTGTGTGCACAACCATGGCTTATGACCAGTGATGAGCATGGGAATAAATGTCGATTTGAACACTTCGTATTCAGACTCAGCTTCGTCTTAGTCACAAGGACTCGGGCTCATGGAATCCGGTTACTTTCTATTTAAAGCTTCTGACAAATTAATCTAGTCAGAATATCACCTGATATTTTTCCTACGTATGTTGGAATACCGTACAACCACCTAACGATCACAGTATTACTTGTTTTTCATAGTAGTAACTTATTTAACCGTATTAAGCATTATCGAAGCATTGAATGAATCGTTTACACTATATAGCACTTATCGTAGCTTCGGTATAAACGTTGGTACTTAGTAAACAACGAATAAGCTCTTTTCTTTATTATAACTTCAATTTCTCTGGGTATAATAATCATGTAAAATCTTTAAGATATTATTTTGAATTCCTATAGTAAGTAACTAACGTTAAGGTTTGACCGAAGAAGTCGAAATTGCGAATATTCACCAAGTTAAAGTGACATCCGTTGGTAGATTGGTTGTAATTTTGTTGAGTCAGTTTTTAGATAGTGGTGAATAAGTTAGTATTGACGAGGGTTTCATGCGATCTGCTGTGTTGTCATTGGAAAACAGCTCTAGAACGACGTAAGCCTCTTCAATTACGATTTTGCCTATAGCATTTAAGGTTGAAGTTCGAAGATCAGTGGTCAGTGGATTAAGGTTGTAAGCGGAGGTAACGATGTTTGGGTTGAAAAAATGGCAAGACGAAGTTTGTGCTACAGCCCTCCCTTTATTACAAAACTTCCGATGGCGTCGAATGGTTTCTTGAATTTGTCTTATTCACGTTCAGTTCTGTGGTAATTTTGGGTCGTTATCGTCTATAATTTGTGCAGCTGTATCCAATCCACTGAAAATTTCAAGAGCATAGTTTCCAGCGATTTTTATGATTGATCCAAATGTTGTTCTTCCTTTTCTGCTAATGTTTCTGCATCCAGCTGAGTTACTTTTGCATAACCAGTTTTTCATCATATGACAGTGATACGTCTTGAACATTTTTTGTCTGCCGCATTGATTCCTGTTGTAGCTCATGCCGACGGTTGAAGATGATGAACCCAGCAAAGATTTTTGATGATGATGATGATGATGACAGCCTTTTGATTGTAAGCGTCGCATTTTGCATGTGCTGTTAGCGACATATTTCTCCTTTATCGCTACTTTCTAATTGAACTCCGGGAAGGGAGTTGATTTATCACTACAGCAAACTTTTTGAGCCTATGACGGAGCGTATATAATCCAGTTAATGACAGTCATGTTAAGGCGACGTTAACGCAATTCATTACGGATTGCTTGAGGATGACTACTGATAGGGGCTGTCAATTATTCCGTTCGTTTTTTCTTGTCAGATTGTCATTCTTGATAGGTTTATCTAAATGTAGAATCTGGCTACTATTACTCACTTGCGAGCCGACTATTTCATGTTTATGGAGACAAGTGTTTAGAATGTACTCCATAGTGCGTTGCCGTGGCATTCTGTTCTGTAGTATAATCGATTACCACTTTCCGAAACCTAAACTGAAAGTTGAATTTATAACTAAAATCTGTAACAGGTAAATCTTTGAAACATTATGGGGTATACGTTGATCTGACTTATATGATTAAAGAAGTGTCTTCGATTTTTTAGCGTATGGACATCGAGAGAAGGCGGATCGAAGCGCGTGACCATAAACGGAAGCCGCGACTAATGGAGGAGGACGAGTTACCTTCATGGCTGTTGAAAAATGAAGAAGAAATCGAGTGTTTGACAAATGCCGACAAAGTTGACAAGATGTTTGGTAAGGGAGCTCGACAACGCAAAGAAGTGGACTACTCCCAAGACTCTTGGACTGAAAGACAATGGCTAAAGGTACAACGCGAGTTGATTCGATTATAAAATGCATTAAGTTATGATGTCCAACGCCGTAGCGTTAATAACGTTTGTAGTGTCCAATGTAGATGTGAGCTTTTGACTTGTTGTAGGCAATGGACG